CCCTTGACCCTCATCCATGCCTTGCCCTTTCTGTGCCCCCTTTATATGAGTTCTGGGGTACACTTTGTATCCCCCCCCCACACCTTATTCATTCTCACCTAGGCTTATGCTCTGATATTTCCTCCCCCCCAACACCTCTTCATGATGGGCTTCCTTCTTTTTCCCAATCTTCGGCTGGATTTTCTCCATTTTTTGCACCTCTTCTTGGGACCCTGACCTTATGCTTTTGCCCACTTTTTATTGACTCCCTTCCCCCCCTTGTTAATTAATCTTCTTTACCTTGCTCCCTTTTTTCCCCTCTCTCCGTAGACACGGCTCATGGATACCGGCCCCTCCACCCCAGACCCGGGGGGCCCACGGAGGGATTTTGCCGCCCCGACCTCTGAACCGGGCCCCCCGTCCTTCGAATGGCTGCTCGGGCGGCTGGGGGCCGGGGGGCGGCGCCAGCGCCTCTTGCTGGCCCTGAGCTGCCTGCCCTGCCTCCTGCTGGGACTCGGGGTGGGCTCCGACGCCCTCTTCACCTTGACGCCCCCCCGCCACTGCCGGGACGCCAACGGCACCAGGGTGCCGGAGAACGCGACGTGCCAGGATGCCCACTGCCCGAACTGGGACTACGGAGGGCTCCCGGCCCTCACCAGCAATCCAGTTACCGAGGTGAGCATTTCTCCTCTGCATTCCACTTGGGATTACAATTCCCATCATCCTCCCACTGGCACCGCCTACGAAGGCCAATTCACGGGCTCCCCCATCCTGCTCTGTTTTCCTCTCTCCGCCCTGCTGTCAGGAGGCCAGTGGCACCAGGTGGCCCGAGGACCCTTCGTGCTGGGCTGGGTGGGGACTGTGGGACTTGTAGTCCCAGAAAAACACTGCTCCAACCTTTGCTTTTTTTCTTTGCTGACCGCCCCCCCACACACACACACAAGAGAAAATGTGATGTAGCAAACAGAGTTATGTCCTCAAAGTGAGAGGTCTTGGGTTCAAATCCACCGGAGCTGCCATGGATAATTACGGAGTTTATTATTTGTGGGTGTTAAATTTTGTGGAATTGAAAGGACCTTGCATTTTTCTTTAGAGTTTCTTTTTAAAAAAAAAGAAATACTAGATGCATTTTTAATGGCATATCTGAACTCTCTCCTTCTCCCTTCTACTCAGAATGTTAAATGTTCGACAGTTTTAAAAGCTGATCTCAACTCTGAATTATGTGAAGTAGAAAATAGAGGCATTGCACCTATAGATTTTTGTGACAAGCACAGAGGTGTCACTGGCTTTTAGGTGCATTTAAGCTGGCTTTACTTGTCCTTCAACTGAAATTAGTTACCAATTGCTGCTCTGTCCCATTGGAAACACGGTGTACACGTTTATTCGTGTTAGCCACAGAGTACGACAAGTTGTGTTGCTCTTCAGGCAGTAGATTTGAGGGTCTCACAAAATTATTAGCTGTCTAGATGAATTTTGTTTTTCTGCAGCTTTTAAGCAATATTCTGGTCCAAGTGCCCAAAATTGGCTCAAGGCGTTATTTACTTGGGCTCTGTGTGTGTTTGCGGTTGTGCTTTCTGCCTCAGCCAGTAAAACAAGTTGGACCAGTCCTGAGTCTAGCTTAATTTGAACCTAAGTGGAGTGCCCTGGAATGTAACAGAAACCATGGTGAGAAGGGCACCTCTGAGCATATGCAGAGTGCATTTTCCACATCTACATCTTAACCACTCTTTGATTTTGCAGCCCTGGATTAAATACTATCACAGAGTTTCTGTGATGGGGTTCCCATTCAGAAGGTGTGGCTCACTTTTAAAATTTGGAATATTGTGTCCCTTCTTATGATAAAAGGATATACAGTGGTGCCTCGCTTAACAGGCGCTCCGTTTAGCGACAAAACCGCATAGCGACGAAGATTTTGCGATCGCAAAAGCAATCGCATTGCAATGTTTTAAATGGGGGTTTTTTTGCTTTGCGATGATTGGTTCCCTGTTTTGCTTACCGATCATCGCAAAGCGATGATTTTTTAACAGCTGAGCGGTGGGTCCAAAATGGCCGCCCACTGTGTTTAGGGACGGGTTCCTCACTTAAGAGGCAGCGAAAATGGCCGCCATATGGAGGATCTTCACTTTAAGGTCAGTTTTTTGCCCATAGGAACACATTAAACAGGTTTTAATGCGTTGCTATGGGCTTTTTAAAATCGCATAGCGACAAAATCACGTAGCAGCAATTTTTGCTGCACGGATTAACGTCGCTATGCGAGGCACCACTGTATCTAGTCACCAGTCATTCTGTGCTATCTCCTGTTTAATTTGTTACATTCCCACTTCTCTTACGAGCCTTCCTGTTCCTTATTTTATCTTCACTACAGCCCTGGAAGGTGGGTCAGCCTAAATCTTATAGATTGTAGCTTAACCCAAGGTCATCTGGTCCATTTCACAGCGGAGCAGGGATTTGAACACAGTTCCCCAGAAACCTAGTCCAACACTCCAGTTGTTAACTCCTGAGAGCTGTACAGAGTTGGGGAAGGATCTGTTCTAAATCATCCCAAAGAGCAGGACATGTAATAATGGGCTCAAGTGGCAGGAAGTCAGATTTAGGTTGAATATCAGAAAAAAACTTCCTAGTTGTTAGAGCAGTACGACAATGGAACTCATGGCCTCAGGAGGTGCATTGAGCAAGGGCTTGGACTGGATAGCCTTGTGGGTCCCTTCCAACTCCATGATTCTATGATCTTCAGCCTCCTCTTGAAGACGGGAGACCAAAAGAGACATTTTCCCCCCAAGTTCTGTATCAATTTGTGTATTACTGATGACTACACTTCACCCTCTCCAATTTTGCTTTCTTATTAGTGGTTCCTGGATTGTTCCCGAGGATGGGTTGTCCCGTTGGAGCAGCTCTGTTTTCTCCTTGGCTTTGCAGCTGGGGCCCTATTTCTTGGCCACCTGGCAGACAGGTAAGACAGCGGACAAGATGGCTGAAATATTGGACAAGTAGGAGGAGGAGATTTTCAAAATACTGTATAGGGAAGGTCAAGGTCACATCCAACATCCAGATGATGATAAGGGGTAGGCTTCTTTCCTGCCCTCGATTAACTCTAGTGGAAGGGAATTCATTATATCAGGTTTCGATCTTGGCCACCTAGCGGCCTTCGTTTGCAGCATGTTCATCGTCAGAATATCTCAAAGGCTATATAGCCTGACGAAGTTAAAGAATCCACTTTGAATTAATTTTGGCCAGTTCTGTTAACAGACAATGGCTGAAATCCTGTTGGTAGAACTATGCTAGTGGAAGGCTGGTGTCATCAGCAAGGGGTGACTTTCAGTAATTAAAAACATCCTACTTGTGTCCTTTGGCTTTTGAATCTCGCAAGTAGTCCCTCTCATTGGATGGGAGTCATGGAACAGGGGAAGGAAGTCTTTAATTACGGAAAGTCTCCCTTTTGCAGTAATATCATCCAATGGCAGTGAATTTCAGTGAGTAAAAACTTCCTCCTACTGTCCCCTGGCTCACATGTAATGAAGAGGATTTTATGGGAGTCGGAAAAACTGTGGAGCAAAAGTTTTTAATTACCAGTACTGCTCCCTGCTGCTGATGTCATCATCTTTCAGCAGGTGCAAGTTACGCAACAGAGGTTTTGGCCTGACTTATAACTTTTACAACTTTTCATTCTCAAAGAAAACTTGGGGTGGAGCTCAGAAAAGTTGCACATTTTTGGCTTTCCCACTTAAGGGTTGACTTTGAAGAGGAAACATTCAAAGAAAAAAAAATCAAATTCTAAATAAGGAGAGGAAAAATGAAGACCGTTATACATTCCTTGCCAAATTCAACGTACAGTCTGAATTGACCAACAAACCTCTAATACTCTGCCTATTGATTCAGAAATAAGTCCCATTGAACGTGTTAGTTCTCGTAGGCAGAGAAGTGGGTTTAAGTTGTTCTAATCTCACAGCATCGCTAACTTCCAAAACTGAGAAGAATTTGGATAATGTTAGAATTTTGGTGAGAAAAAATGAGCCACTGTGTGAGAATTCTGTCTTCCCAATTTGTTTCAGGGTCAATCAGTGATAAGAATCCTTTTTTAGCAAGACCAGTAGAGGAGGTGAAAAAGCAGAGTACAGTAGCTTGGTGGCTGAAGAGACTAGCCCCCTTCTATTGATCCTCGGTGTGTCTTACCTCTTCCGCAAAGGTGAAAAAGCAGAGTACAGTAGCTTGGTTTGGCTGAAGAGACTAGCCCCCCTTCTGTTGATCCTCAGTGTGGCTTCCCTCTTCCGCATGAAGGCAGGGGGACCTTTCTTAAAGGGAGGCACCAGGAAAGGGTTGGTAGGGAAGGCAAGAGAATAGTTTGTGAAGAAAGGCTTTTTTTTGTCTTCAACCTGCAGTGTGGGACGGCGTAGCACACTCCTCTTGGCCCTCGCTCTCGGCTGCCCTGCGGGCATTTTGGCTGCCTTTGCTGCCTCTCCCTCAGTCTTCATGTTGGGCCGTTGCCTTTGGGGTGTGATGTTGGGGGGCATGGAGCTAGCCCTCTACCTAAGCCGTGAGTATCCCCTTTGGCAGAGTCTTCTGGACCTCATCCTTCGTTACTCTTCAGTTTTTCCCAGATCTCTCTCTCTCTCTCTCTCTCTCTCTCTCTCTCACACACACACACACACACACAGAGAGAGAGAGAGAGTTTTTACTTTAAGAGTTCCTGCATGGGTCACTTTGGACATTTCCTGGGCCCCAGTAGTTGTTTTAGACCGTGGAATATTATTACTTTTTTCCAAAACTGGACATCTCTGGTCACTCTGAGTGCATGCGTGTGAAAAACCACCCACTGTGTCTCAGACGGCACTCTGCACGCACACAGACTCCTGTAGTTCCTGATCCTGACATATATACACACACAAGGTCTTACTAGCTAGACGTCATGTTCTTCCCGCAAAGGTTACCAGTGAAAGGTATAAAAATATCCTTATGGCAGAGAGGGTTTGCCTGGTAGTATCAACCACACACGTTAATGTCACACTGCCAGTTCTATCATGAACCCACGTATTAAGCTTATTCTCCCTTTGCTTAACTGGTTTTCAGCCTGTCCCTGAAACAGAGATCTTACATCAACTTCTTTTAGACTTTAATCCTCACTCTACACTTACTTGCAAAACATTTCTCACAGCTGCATGCAAGAGATACAAAGATTTAGTGGATAATGATTTTAAGCTGTAATTTTCCTTTGTCTCTTTTCCTCCGTTCTAACATTGTGACTGCCTTGTAAATTTATCCTGGATTATATTTAATGTCTTTTGATGGCCATGGACCATAATAATAATAAATGAACTAACTGGTGGATACACACAGAGACGCTCAGAGGGCAGCTTTTTAAAGGAAAAATAAACCTGAGAACTGAACTCTAGGTCTTTTAATTCAGAAGCACGCTTTGGTTTAGCACCGCCTTTCCAGCTTCTGTTTTTATGGTCCTGCTTCTAAATGGTTTTATTCCTTGAAAATGTGTTTTGTTTAGGAATCTCAGAAGCTGGAGAACAGCTGATCGGCGGTTCCAAAAGGGCCGCCGGAAGGTCCGTGCCGCATTTTCGCGCCCTGCCCTCACTTACCGAGGGCGCGAAAATGGCGGCGCTATGGCAGAACCTCGCACAGCGGTGAGTTTTCAAGCCATAGGAACGCATTGAACAAAGTTCAATGCGTTTCTATGGCTTTTTTATTTCCGCACAGCGATGTTTCGCTGTAGCGAAGGTTAATCCGGAACGGATTAACCTCGCTATGCGAGGCACCACTGTAACTGGCGGATACACACACAGACGCTAAGAGGGCAGCTTTTTAAAGGAAAAATAAACCTGAGAACTGAACTCTAGGTCTTTTCAGAAGCACGCTTTGGTTTAGCACTGCCTTTCCAGCTTCTGTTTTTATGGTCCTGCTTCTAAATGGTTTTATTCCTTGAAAATGTGTTTTGTTTAGGAATCTCAGAAGCTGCTTTGAACATCATGGAGAGAAATGGAAGCCACAGTCAAGCATTGTCTTTATGAGCCCTGCCTTTGCGGTGGAATTCTTACCTTCCCCTGTCAGAGGCCTGGACTCAGTTCCTAATACTTCGAGACATAGCATGGTACAATGGGTATAGTGGTGGACTAAGACCCAGGAAACCTGGGTTCAAATCCCCGCTTGGCTAGGGAAACTCACGGGGGCGGGTGGGGTAGCAAGAGGAAAGACACTCTTTGAACAATTTACAACACCTTGAAAACTGGATCACCATAAATTGGAAGCGATTTGGTGGCACCAAGCTACACGCTGGCTTATAGTTGCCAGGCCCACGTTTGTGCACCCCTACACGGTGGTCCTCACCGTTTGCTTACCTCCGTAGTTAGTGTGGCTGCTTCTCGGCCACTTGTTTGGTTCAGGCCTTTGTGAGTAAAGGCAGAGCAGTTTTATGGGCTTCCTCTCCTACAGCGTCTTAGCCCTGAAGATGCTCCTAGCCAGTTGTTATCCACATAGCTGGCCCAGAAGCGGGCCAACTATATGAACAAGGCAGGCAGGGATTTGTAAAAAAGCCGAGTCTCATGTAAAACGGACAGTGGTACCTACAGAAGAGGATTTGGGGCAATATAAGAAATATTTATTTGAAGGTGAAGTTGATAGAAATCAAGAGAGCCCAACTTGGCAGGAAGAGTTGAGAAATATTCTTCCTTTCAATGTACAATATTTTTTTTGGAGGGGCGGGGTTGGCTTGGCTTCTCAAGGCATTCAGCGTTTGTGCACCCCTACACGGTGGCCCTCACCGTTAGCTTACCTCCGTAGTTAGTGTGGCTGCTTCTCGGCCACTTGTTTGGTTCAGGCCTTTGTGAGTAAAGGCAGGGCAGTTTTATGGGCTTCCTCTCCTACAGCGTCTTAGCCCTGAAGATGCTCCTAGCCAGTTGTTATCCACATAGCTGGCCCAGAAGCGGGCCAACTATATGAACAAGGCAGGCAGGGATTTGTAAAAAAGCCGAGTCTCATGTAAAACGGACAGTGGTACCTACAGAAGAGGATTTGGGGCAATATAAGAAATATTTATTTGAAGGTGAAGTTGATAGAAATCAAGAGAGCCCAACTTGGCAGGAAGAGTTGAGAAATATTCTTCCTTTCAATGTACAATATTTTTTTTGGAGGGGCGGGGTTGGCTTGGCTTCTCAAGGCATTCAGCCAGCCTAGGTTGTTAGAGCTGAAATCCCCCCAAAAAAGTAACTTTTCAAAACCCTGTTTGGATGTTTTGGCCAGGGTGTGGTTAGGTTTTTGTGGTGGATTGGACATTGTCCTATCGTGGTGGGCGTCTTTTGAGGACTACAGCTCCCAGGGAACTGTAGTTCAGAAGAATGTATTTGCACACCTCTCGTGTCGTACTCTTCTCCTGCTGCCTGTCATCTTTTTTTTCCCCTTTTTTAAATTTAGGCTTGGAGCTGTGCTGTCCTTCCCAGCGGCTACCTGTCGCCATGGCCGGGGACCTCCTGATGGTTGGAGGTCACTTCCTCCTGCTCGGTTTGGCGCTGGCTTGTGGAAGCTGGCGGATCCTTCAGGGTGTGATATCGGCCGGGCTTGGGCTTTGTCTCCTTTATGGGTAAGCTGATCTCTCCCTATTCAAAGAAGAGTTCCAACTTTCCCTTTCTTCTAAGTCTTTGCCTAATCGGAATACACCCATACCAGTCCATTATGCCACACCCTCAAAAAGCTCTGTTGATGAGCCAGAGGCTAAAATGTCCCTCCAATAACACTTAAATGTAAAATGACCCACGCTGAAGTGGGTCTTCTAGGATTCTAGAAGAGGCAAAGTCATAACGGTGTTTTTTCTTTAAAAAACAGTTTGTTCCCATAAAAAAGTGGGGATGACGTTTTTCGAATTTCTTGAAGAACAGAAGCTTAGTTCCGCCAACCCTTAGCCTTGGTTTCCATGCCCATTTTACAACCACTCAACACAGGAATGGAGAAATTTTGGCTCTCCAGGCTTTTTCGAATTTCTTGAAGAACAGAAGCTTCATTCCGCCAACCCTTAGCCTTGGTTTCAATGCCCGTTCTACGACCCCTCGACACAGGGATGGAGAAACTTTGGCTCTCCAGGCCATAGCTTCCTGTTCAGAAAGGAAATTCCCCAGCTACCACTGGGGCAGGAAGAGGAAGCTTGGTTGGAGCTAGGCATAGTTCAACCTTCTGGATTAGGCCTTTTCCCCAGGTGAGCCGCATTCACGTATCTGCAAGGTATCTATCAGAGAGAACTTCAGAATGGAAAAGGATGGGGATTATAGTCCAAGGAATCAGAAAATTCCATCTCTAGTTGAAGACTCTTCACCTTGCAGAATTACCACCGATCCTGACGTATCTGCCCTAAAAAGTTGTAAGAAGATTTGTAATGAATCGAACGAAAAACCTTTAAAATTCCATCTCTAGTTGAAGACTCTTCAGACCCTGTGGAATTAAAGTGGTGCCTCGCTTAACGATTGCTTCGTTAAACGATGAAACCGCTATACGATGAATTTAGCGATCGCAAAACGAAGTTTTAATGGCAAAAATCTGCTTTGTGACGATCGGTTCCCGAAGCACCATTTTACAACCACTCAACACAGGAATGGAGAAATTTTGGCTCTCCAGGCCCTAGCTTCCTGTTCAGAAAGGAAATTCCCAAGCTACCATTGGGGCAGGAAGAGGAAGCTTGGTTGGAGCTAGGCATAGTTCAACCTTCTGGATTAGGCCTTTTCCCCAGGTGAGCCGCATTCACGTATCTGCAAGGTATCTATCAGAGAGAACTTCAGAATGGAAAAGGATGGGGATTATAGTCCAAGGAATCAGAAAATTCCATCTCTAGTTGAAGACTCTTCACCTTGCAGAATTACCACCGATCCTGACGTATCTGCCCTAAAAAGTTGTAAGAAGATTTGTAATGAATCGAACGAAAAACCTTTCTAGTCAGGCATTTACCTTCTGCCTTGGCCGGTGTGTGACCATTTCCGGGGTGGTACCGATGTTCCTCTGTTGCAGCAAAAAAAACAAACAGAAAATCTTTCTGGTATTTCCAAGACAAAGAAAATTTATAGTATACAGGCACCAAAAATGGCCGCCCCATGGAGGATCTTCGCTGGACGGTGAGTTTTCAGCCCATTGGAACGCATTGAAGGGTTTTCAATGCGTTTCAGTGGGTTTTTTTATTTCACTTAATGAGGATTTAGCTGTACAGCGATTTCGCTGGAATGGATTATCCTCGTTAAGCGATGCACCACTGTACCACCGATCCTGATGTATCTGCCCTAAAGAGTGTAAGGAGATTTGTAATGAATCCAACCAAAAACCTTACTAGTCAGGCATTTACCTTCTGCCTTGGCCGGTGTGTGACCATTTCCAGGGGTGGTACCGATGTTCCTCTGTTGCAGCAAAAAAAACAAACAGAAAATCTTTCTGGTATTTCCAAGACAAAGAAAATTTATAGTTAGAGCCATCCAGGTTGGCCACCATCCTTGCTTTGGGCTCCTGGGATGCTCTGTTTCTGACTTCGAGGTGGCTCTCCTTGAACTGTAGCCCTTCAGGGACAGAAACAGCTGAGCAACAGCTGAAGGAGAATTCGGGGGAGAGGGTTGGCTCTGATCTCCTGTAACTTGAATCTGGACAAAGGCTTTTTAATCTCAAGGGGATATATCAATCAGCCCATTGACGCAAGAATGTGTGCGTTTATCACCCAATTGCTGTTTGTCAACAAGCACTGTTGAGATAATGGTCCTTTTTTGTACTCCTTTGATGTCGGTTCCCTCCGAGTCCATTGATTATGGATTGCTTACCAACTTAAGTAAATGTATGATATGCTGATATCTGGCGCAAATGCCTCTGAAGAAGCAGGCTAGAAGTTACGCTGAATGAAATCTGCTCTTCGGGGCACCCACAATACATTTTAATTTTTCTGAAATACAAAAACAAAGATATTTTTTAAAAAAACATTAGTAGCTTGATTCAATACAGGAGGACTCCATTATCCTCAGGATCAGTATCTGTCAATTCACTTATCAACAGTCTGAATATATTAAAAGTATTAAATGAAAAATCCTGGAAATGTATTTTTATAAATACGAAGCTACCAGAACTGGCCCCTAGAGGGAGCCAGAGACGATGCTAGGTATGATGTCCGCTATTAAAACAGCGTTCTCTATCATCGGCGTTTTTCAGCATCCGCAGGGCAGTTGGAACCGATGCTCCACAAATATGAAGGTTCTGCTCTGCTAAGTATCAAAACACCCCGCGGCAGGAAGATTATGTTACGACTGCATCCCAGAAGCCCTCTTTGGTAGACATCCTGTCCTTTTGATGCCAGGACTAACAAGCCCCCGTATGTCTTGTCAGCCTCCGACGTGGAGGAACATGTCATAGAGCCTGTGCCTCCAAAATTGCAGCTACCTTACTCGTATACCTTCAGAAGCTCTCTCGTGTGTCCCCCTCCAGAATGAGGCTGGACAGAACGTAAACCACAGTGGATTGTAAGCCAGTTTCGGGTGCATTGCCTACCAGAGGTCTACGGCTGGATTCTTACCAAGCAGGGTTTGAGAAGCTAAGACCTTTTGTACTACGGTCCCCTTAATCCCTGACCCTTTGCCCTGCTGGTTGGGTCTTCTGGGAGTTGTAAGCCAAAGTATCTAGAAGCTGCCAAGGCCCCAACCTGCTTTAGAAGGAAGGCTAGGCTGGGTGGCTCGTAATCTGACGGGAAGAGTATTTTGTAGGGTTTTGAGCATGGCTGTACCATTAGGATTACTTGGCTCGTAACAAGTTGTGTCTTGGCTGTTGTGAGGCCCTGGTGGTGCAGCACCGGTTAGCGGACCTCACAGGCAAGGAATCGGGGTCCAGAATCCCATGTTCTGCTCCTGAACCTGCAGGGGCCTATAGTGCCACCCCTTATCAATGGAAGTGGAAGTGATTATAAGTCATGTTCCAGTTTTGTAGAGCTCCTCGGGGGTGAAGTGTGGAAAACAGGTATCAGAAGGGGCTGCATCTTTTCTTATATAAAAATCGCTGCTCTCAAAGAGCTTCCAGCAGCAGCAATTCCCCCCCTCCAAAAAAAGAAAAAAGGCAAGAGGGTGTGTGCAGGTTATGTATCAGCCATTAAGAATGGGATTTTAGGGACTAAAAATCTCATAATTCTCCAGTCTGGGAGTTCTTGCAGACAGATGGACACCCATCTGTGGCTCGCCTGGGAGAAAGGCCTAGTTCTGCCCAAGCTTCCTGTTCCTGCCCCAAGACTAACTGGGAACCTTTCTGAACAGGAAGCTAGGCCGAGCTAAGCCTATCTAGGCCTCAAAGCCTTCCAGTTTAGGCCTTTCTCCCAGGTGAGCCACAGACGGGTGTCTGTAAGATGTCTATCACATAGGACTCTCAGAATAAAGTATGATGAGACATGTTGTCCGCAAAACCAAGTCATCCATCAATCTGTCCTATCTCTATTAGCCGCTCAGCCTAAAAGGGAGCTCACACCGGTTGTCAGAGTTATATCATCCTTCTCTGATATGCTTTTTCTTCTGGCTAGCTGCCCTGGCTTTTACCCTGAATCGCCCCGTTGGCTCTTGGCCACTCGTCGGACGGCGCAAGCCAAGGAGATTTTGATGGGTCTCACCCAGGGAGGTGCTGCTCAAGAGTCTGAGGCGCAGGAGGCGCTGGCTGGTGAGTTCTGGAGGGGGCCCCAAAGCCTTTTGCTGCAAGCAGGAGCCTCTGGTTGAAGAAGAGGAACCATCAATGCAACGTGTGGGTTGGTCTCCCTCCTGTTCATGTTGGGACTTAGCCAGTTTGTGACCTCCAGGCATTGTGGATGGTTGGCTCCGTTCACCTTGCCTGGGTGGGGAAAGATGAGGAAGGATGGGAGTTGTAGTTCGCCGTTGACTGGAGGGACATGTCAGCCCCAGGCTGGACCCGTGATTTTCATCTTCTCCTCTGTGTTGGGGGGTGGGAGTGGGGAGAGAATCTGTGATAAGGCTTGTGTGAGAGTCGTCGTGGCAGAGTATTGAACAGGGCCTCACGAGAGCTGGGTTCAAATTCCCACTTGGCCATGAAACTCACTGGGTCACCCCGAGTCAGTTACAATATCCCGGCCTGACCTACCAAACAGGGTTCTGAGGTGGAAAAGCATGGATGCCAACTTAAGCTCATTGGAGAAAGATAAGGTACCGTTTGTTAAATAAATGTGTGATTTTTAGCTGTTTGTTATGGGTAGATCCCGCTTCTGTTCATCCCCTTCCCCAAATTCTGTCTTCTCAAACCCATCTTTTGTCTCTTTTTTTTTTTTAAGAACTCGACAACGCCTGCCACCTCCCGGCCGCCGCTCAGATCTCGCTCCGCCTTCTGCTGTCCTGCAGAAACATCTGGAAGAACATCCTCATCCTTGGTTTCACCACGTAGGTTGATCCTCTCCTAGACCACAAATGACTAGGATCGGGAGGAGAGGGATGGAGAAGGTGTGCGTGAGACAGGGATGGCGATTTGCGGTTGCAACTCGCTCTCGAGTCTGACTCGGGATTTGGGGGGGTAGACATGGACCCAACTCACGACTCAGAACCATGTGTTCGGGTCCCATAAGGCTGTGATCCCCAACCTTGGGCCTCCACCTGTTCTTGGACTACAACTCCCAGAAGTCTTCACTACCACCTCGGCTGGCGAGGATTTCTGGGAGGTTTGAAGTGACGCAGGTATGGCTACCTCTCTGATCCATTTGCCGTTGACTCTGATCAGCTGCTTTTGAAGTTTTGGAGAACTTAGAAACAACAACAACAACAACAACAATAATAATAATAATAATAATAATAATTTGGGTCTGCAGCTTCCAATATCTAATGGGAGGGTCTGTCAAGAAGGGGGAGGGGGAAGGAATATTTTTCAAACTCTGCTTTCTAGTTTTGTTTTGTTTGTTCGTTTGCTTGTTTTAAAATTGTCATTTTTAAGGTGACGGTTGATTTATTTGTTTCTTGTCGTGTTGTGTTTCCCATCAGTCTCGTTTCTTCTCAGCTGCTTCGACTCCTTTGTCCGTAAATCTGAAACTGAGTTTTCTTTCGGTTCGTTTTAGTTCGATTGGACATTTTATGCTGTTATCGTGCATAGTCTTGTTTTTATTGTTGTATACCGGTGAGACCACCGTGGGTCAGACGGGTGGGGGTCTAGAAGTTTTTTTTAAAATGAACGAATGAAAACGAATGCATGAACGAACGAACAAACGAATGACCTTTGGCTTGGCCCCTGCCCAGATTCATCGCCCACGCCATCTGCCACTGCTACCGCCTGGCTTGGGAGACCCCGGAGGATCCGCATGCCACGTTCTACCTCTCCTACCTGCTGTCGACCGGCAGTGCGGGCTTAGCCTGCCTCTTCCTGTGCCTGAGCGTGGACCGCTACGGGCGCCGTGGCATCCTGCTTCTCACCACCACCCTGACCGGCATCGCCTCCCTTATCCTTCTGGGCCTGGGAGAATGTAAGTGGGGTGGAGACCGGTGGGCATAGTTCGCAAACGTGGCAGCCACTTGACCATAGACACGCTCGGCCGATGGTTGCCGGCTGAACCCGGTGCAGAGATAAGAACAGAAGAATGCCGTTGGATCAGTGCGGGCATCATGAGGATCCTCTTAGAACGACAGAGCTGGAAGAGGGACCCTTCTAGTTGTGGGCTAGAACCGGTCTGGCTTGTGATGATTCTCCTTGCAGTCCATTAAACTTCATCACTTGTTCTCTCCACTTGGAAATAGCCTATTTAAAGCATGGCAGTCTTTTGCATAGAACGGAGCTTGTGAAGCTAGTTTGCAGCCTGGGAAGAAGAGAGTCGCTTGCAGAAGAAGGGAATGGTAAACCACTTCCGAGCACCCTGGAAAGGGAGAGAAGAGCAGTTCTCTGTTCTTTGCAAAGGAAAAAGATGCGGCTTTAGCTGCATTTCGGGAAGCCCTGGAATCCCGGAAACGGACAGCAGAGAGTCAGTGAAAGCTCTCACCCTCTCCCTGTGTCTAATCCTCCCGTTTAAAGCTTAAGGCACTGGATCCTATAAGCCAATTAAATGCTCTGGGAGGGACTTTCTCTGGCCTGTCTCGAACCTGCGCCCAGACAGTTCCTCTCATTTGATGGTTCTGGTTTTTAGTACTTAAGAGGAAGAGAAATGTTTGGACTCAGGGGAGGAGCTGAGAAAATATCCTCTCATCTTTTGCAGCAGAAACTTAACGAGAGTATTAATGGGATCGTAAGGATGAGCCATTTTATGCGGCATGAATTTCCATAAATTTTCAGACTGCTTTGCATCTGAAAAAGTGTGCCACTTGAAACTTGATTTAATTCTTAAGTTTACTCAGTAAATTGTTCTTAGGTTTTTCTCTTGCTAAGACACACTGCCCAGAAATGTAGCCGGCTGGTTCGTATTCAGATAAACCACTGCAAAGTCACAATAATAATAATGTGCCATCAGGACAATTCTGACTCAACGGCAATGTTTTTCTGAGTTTCCCAGATAGAGAATACACAGAAGTGCTTTACCCTTCTCTTCCACTGGGGGGCGCCCTGGGATGGTGCAGCTTGCCCAAGGCTACCCAGGCTGGCTCTTTTTCTCAGGAGCACCGTGGGGCCAGGGGGAATCAAACTCCCAGACCACTGAGCACATAAAAATGCCACTTAAAGCATAGGTGGTATTATTCCCTCTTTTCTGCAAGGCATGGTTCCAAGGCATGGCTTATAATGTAAACGGATTGTGTGTAATACATTTGATAGGACTTTTCTTTTGATCGAATTTTTTATGTATTGTGGGTGCATTGAACCAAAATAGAAAAAGCATGCTGAGCTTTCAGAAAGGGATCAAACTTGTCCTGCTCTCAGAGGGAAATGATTTTGGGTGGAAGGGCTACGTTTTTCTCTGTGATCCTCTGTGCCCCCCCGGCTTGTTATTTCTGCCTCGTTTAAAAACCTGCCTTCGTCCCCATTGCAGATCTCAACAGTGCTGCCCAGAGGACGTTCTCAATCCTCGGCCTCTTCGCCTCTCACGCGGCTGGCTCCCTCAGCGTCTTTTTCGCCTCCGAGGTCATCCCCACCGTTATCAGGTCAGATGGGTCAGGCGGGAAAGATGTGGCTGTCAAACCTACAGTTCAGTGCATTCCAGTGGGGGGGGGGAATTCACCAAAAATTAACGAAGACTCAGAACAAAGCCAAATTAAGTTTGCAAAGGTTTTAAAAGGTGCACTAACGATTCCAAGCATTTTAAACAGTTTTTGAACATTTTAAGACACACTTAAAATAGCGGAAACGGACATCGCTAAGCGAAACAGGGGGACCTAAACTGTCATCGCTAAGCGAAGCAAGGTCCCAAACATCGCTATGCGAAATTTCCCCATAGGAAACATCGCTAAACGGAGCGCAAGATCGCTCCAAAAACCTCATTGCTAAGCGAATACGTTGTTAAACAAGGCAATCTCTAAGCGAGGCACCACTGTATTATTCCTCCTGCGTTTCTCTCCCCTTTCCTCTCTGTCTGAAAAAGCCATCTACCAATGGGCCCTTCTCCTCTCTAGCCCAACGAGGTACATGTTTTGCTGGAAGTCTGCCACTCTAACCCAGCTGTTGGTGTTGGGGCAAAATTTGGTTGCATTGTTAGGCTTGTGTTTAAAATAACCTTTGAACCGCAAAGCTGGAAGGGACCCTGTGGGATCACCCAGTCCAGCCCCTATTAAGGGAGGACAGTGGGGGAATCGAACTCCCAACCTTTGGCTCCATATCCAGAGACCTTAGCCACTGAACTCTTTAGCAAAGATTCTGTTCCTTAAAAATGGTCACATAGGTCAAGAGATTTCTTAGCGGGTCATGTTGCCTGCTTCATTTTCACTAACGTAGGTAAGCTATCGTACTCTGCAAAGCGCTGGAAATTTCGGGGCTTTAATAGGTATATAAATGATCAAATATTGCCCATAATTTATTCCCTGCACACGCTGATGTAAATGAAACAGCATAAGTCTTTTCAGTCACTATTGAGTCCCGGAATGCTTTAAAAAAATTTTTTTTAATGCTGACTTAATTTAATTATTTAACTGTATTTTAATTAGCATATCCTTTAATTGCTTTTTTAAATGCTTAACTCTGTTTTTAATTGTGTTCTTTTTAATATTGTGAGTTGCCTGACATCCCTCGGTAGGGAGAAAGACAGCTTAAAAGGAAAGCAAACAAATGAAGAATAAATAAATAAGTCTCTGCGTGAATTGCTACCGGTCGAGAAATCACCGCTGGTCGTTCTCGTTGCCGGTCAGTTGCGTGGCTTGCGGTGAAAGAGAAAGATAAGCACTGACTTTTTTAACTGGATGCAAAACTCAGCCCAGCTGTTGGGCTTCTGGCAGCGTGCTGTGCCGTACGTTGTGTGTGTCACTGGCACAGTTGTAGGATCCCTTCTTTCATTGTCCGAGCAAAAAAATCTCCGCAGGAGTGGGTTTTCCGCTTGTGTAACCAAGATGTTCTCCCTACAGGGGCAAAGGCCTGGGGATCATCCTGGCATTGGCGTCTCTGGGCGGGCTGAGTGCTCCGGTGCTCCGGTTACGAGAGCAGCACGGCTCGTTCCTCGAACACATCGTCCTGGCGTCTCTCAACATCCTGGCCCTTCTCTGCCTGATGCTGCTGCCGGAGAGCAAGCGCAAGGCCCTCCCCGAAGGGCTGCGGGATGGAGAACTCTACCGGAGACCTTCCCTGCTCCGCCGGGCGGGGGGCCGAGAAGGCCGAGACGCTGAGGGGGCCACCCGGCGCGACGACGTACCCCTCCTGTCCACGCCCAACCCCGCCAGTTGATGCCCCCCACTGTGGCCCAGTCGGACCGCTACGCCTCCCTTTGCACGTGGCCCCGTAGCCAGACCTCCGTCGACTGAACTTAAGAGGGCTGCCTCTTGACATGGTCTTCGGGGGGGGGGGAGAGACCACTGTTTTTTCCTCGTTTTTGGCTTCTGAGGTTGGGCAGCCCCCCCTCCCCCCAAGGACAGGCCAGTTTTCTTCCAGAAGCAGAAAACTAGGAACAAGGCTGGTCACCGGCAAGTCTTTAAAATACATAAACTAAACTTTTTTGGGCGGGGGGGATTGGCTGTTTATCATGACATTTTTTAGAAATGATGAGACCCAAGTGGAAACGGTATTCTGCGGGACCCCCATTTTTATGGGTAGGAGGCTAAGAGGATGCAAACGGCTTCTGTGCAATAAAATCATCTGGACGTAAATCCAGAGGTATTGAGAGAGTCGGTTAGGGAGAGCCGTTTTTAAATCTGCATCGTTTCCCCCCGCCTTGTTCCTCATTCCCTCCAAAGAGCTTCATGGACCCATTTCCTTATTTTAATAGTAGTATAATAAACAGAAACGTAACAGGCCAGGTTCAAGCCTCAAAGGGAGATGCAGTCAGGGTAAAAACTGTTACTTCGGCTGGCATCTTTATTTCCATTTTACAGAGTTTGGAAACTGAGGCCAAGAAACTTGTTAGAATGGATCAGCGATTAAAAAAAGAACATCGTCAAGGAGTTTGCCCTATGCACTCCCATCTTTGCGAGTACATAATCATTTTTGATAGCACGTTATCAGTGTCCAAAGGGCTCTTTCTGCTTCCTCAAGGCAGCGTCAGCCCAAGCCCCTGAATCTGTAACCAAGGGCCTTAGAAATCTTTTCAACTGCTGATTTTCCAAACTGGGTGGGTCAAGTGAGAGCTGTCCTTGTTGGTTAAATCCTCAAGTTGCCACTGAAAATGGTCTGTTAAGGGCCAGTCCTTGTAGACTCAACCCAATGATTCATAATGCAACAGGCCATCTCTTAACCCTTGGGGCAATTTCTTACAGCGGTAGGGCTGCCAGAAATTAAACTGATCAGTTTCCCCCTCTTTAGGATGGGGAGAACCCATTTCTGCTGAATTTCTGTGCTCAAATATAAAGGTCCCGTGGGCAGCAGCCCGGCTTAAAACATCTAAGGACGAAGGCATCAAGTTCTTTAGTGTCCGACACAGGTTAGAATACTTACATAGCATGAATGCACACATAAAATCTCCATCAGGTAAGACTGGTCATGCCACTCCTCTTACCCAAGAGTGATGGCAAATCTGCATCAGAAATGCAGAGATGCGGGAGAGAACATGGATGGCCCCACGCAGTCCCTGCCCAGGTGTTTCAGAATGCAACCCACACGGGAGCCTCAAAAGGACTTTTGGCTGCTTTTTAATTCTAAAGGGAAATGAACTACTGACTGTTAATAAGCTAAAATACACATTAAAGGAAAATCTTGAGAATTGTTTGCCCCCCCGAGCGTTTCTTAAGCCATGCCAGTTTCTGCCCCACTTCTTTGGACAGCTGCAGGATTATCACTGTGGAACCCACCTTTGTGCCCCACTGAAAACAAGAGTTTAGCCTGACAGAATTGTACTTCCTGCCTTCAGAAATAATTTTTCCATATCCTCCAAGAGGTGTCATTTTATTTGGGGGTTAAATGAACTTTCTGGATGCCTTGCGGGTTTACTGTACAAGCATGTACTGGGAAAGTCAGCAAAACTGGTGCCTGCTCCAAGATGCAGAAAGGGCCTTCCTCAGAATTATGTATTAATCATCTCTGGTCCTCCTCTGCTTCCAAGGGATGGAAGACCAAATCCTATTATTCTCCACTTTAGCTGGGTGAGAAAGCCTGGGTTTGCCTTTCCCAATCTAACTTGGAAGCAAAAGATTTGATTAAATATAGGTTGAATTGAAAATGAGAATGGCTGACGATTGGATTCCAAAAGATCTCCTCTCTGGAGAATGAGTGCAGGGAAATCACCCCAGAGGGAGACCGCAGCTGCAGTACAAGGACATCTGCAAGCGGGATCTGAAGGCCCTAGGAATGGACCTCAACAGATGGGAAACCTTGACCTCTGAGTGTTCAGCCTGGAGGCAGGCGTTGCATCACGGCCTCTCCCAATTTGAAGAGACCCTTGTCCAGCAGGCCGAGAGGCTATCCTGAAAGCAACAATATCGGGGAGCTGGACAGGGGACAGAGCACATTACCATAGTCTCTCGAGACTGAAGGAGACCTACATAGGTTCAATTTTACATCTGCGAGTTATTAACTGTGAGCAGCTGTTCAGTAAGGAGTGCACTTCCCAGTAATATTTTCATTCAGGAACAGTTGGGGCTACACTGGAACCTGTGAGGTCTGACCCTGAAGCCCTCTGCGCTTCCTGGAAGATGCCCTAGGTTTCCAGTTGATTCAATTGCCACAGTGGAACGGTGAAGAGCAACCTCACCACTGGTGCAGTGGGACGTGGTCCTAAGGAAATCCCTGACATTTATTCAGCCATGCCCTTCCACACGCACTTCTTTCCTTGGGGCAATTATGACAAGGTATCTCTTCCATCTTACAGGCAGGCTCATACCTCGAAACTGGCCGCTATGTATGTGCTTTCTTGATTATATGCAAGCACTGTCCCTGCCAGCCGGAACAGTACAAAAAACAAACAAACAGAAATTCCATTGTCACAGAATCATGGAGTGGGAAGGGGCTCTCTAAGGCTATCGATTCCAACCCCCTGGTCAGTGCAGGAATCCAAGTCAAAGCAGATTGGACAGATTTTTTGTCTTAATTTTCTCTGGAAGGCCTCCAGCGTTGGGAGCGCTCGCCACCTCCCGAGTTCATGGGCTCCTTTGTCGTACTCCTCTAACAGTTAAGGAGTTCTTCCTGGTACTCAGGATGTTCAGTCCCTATGTGGCTTTTTCACCAGTGTCCATGCATGCCTGAAAAACGGATGGATGCTCTACATGTGCTTTTCCACAGAAGCAGAACCGTTAGTAACAAAAAAATAAAATTTGGAAAAAAAACAGCATGTTTCTTCCAAAAAACATCTTTATTTTTTTTCCACCCTCATAACATTTTTGTCCCTTTTTTTTACCCTTCCTGCTCCACCTCAATCTGAACCTATATTTTTTTCCCTTTAGCCTAACTTTGTCCATAGTCCTACATTTCTTCTTTTTTTGTTTGTTTGTTTACATTTATTTATTTTTACACACAAAGAAAGGAAGACAAATACACCCACCCCTGGCAAGGGAGTCCGCTCCCCTGCCCCGGGTCTCTATAGCTTCAGGTTTCGATGGCATTTCTTCAGGCTAAAAATAAAGGAACCTGTAAAGATAAAGACACTCAAACAAGGCATATAACATACCCCTGGGGAGAAGGAAAGGGGGGGGCAGTGGGCAAAAGGCAGAAAGGGAGGACAAAAGGAAGCAGCAGAATATGACCCTTAGAAGGGCGGGCACAGTTTTTGCAGGAAGCAAACACCCCAACCTGTTTTTAAAATTAAGGTTCAGGGTTCAGAGCTCCGTCTGAACAGCAGGGGCAAGCAGCTAAGGGGGGGGGCAAGGGGGCAAGAGAGAAGAGGGAACTTGGGAAGGACCTGTCTACATGCATCCAGAACAGGATGTGGAGACTCGAGTCTGCCAAAATGAGAAAGACAAGAAAAACAGCAGTGTTAAAATCTCGACATTGGGCAGCCACACGGCTGTTGAGGGCCAAGCACCCCCAGCCTCCCTCCTTACTAGTTCATTTGGGGGACGGGGCAGCAAACGAGAGCTGAAAGAAACCAAGCACGCCAGACAGACACACACAAAAGATGGCCAAGGGTGCTGAAGGGAGGGGGAGAAATACCCACAATTACACTTTTAAAAATAAAAGGGGAGGGGGAAGGAAAGGAAGAAACAAGAATTAGGGGGAGCTGGCCAACCTCCAAACCCTCCCCCCACAACACTCCACCCCCCTTGAAACATGGGGCGACAGTTAAAAACATCAGAGAAAGTTCGGCTTGGGCTACCCCGACAATATCTGCAAATGGGAAGGGAAGAGGGATGAAGGGCAGAGAAGGGCAACAGGGCTCAAGGTCAGCAATATTACCAGGTAGAGATGCTCAACGGCACAATCCCCACCACCACAGCCCCCTTGGCCCCTCCATTTTCTCCCTCCCCCATACGTCAAGCCCTCTTTCTCTGCACAGAATGGGACATGTTCTCCTCCCACCAACAGTATATATATATTTTTTTTCCATCATGGTAACAATCTTCATTTTTTTCCTTTTTTTTCCTCCTTCCTAAAACAACCACTTTTTTTTGTTTTTAGTAAGGGGAATACCATGAGGTCGCTCTGGCCCGGCCCCTGTGGAGAGAAGGAGGAAGCCGGTTAATGAACAGAGGCACAGACGAATACGCTCACCAATTCAAAACTTAAAAAGATGATCCCAGAAACGGGGAGGGAAAAGTCCTCTTGGAGTGAGAATACAACAACCACTACAAGCTGGCTGGAATCCCAGGATTTAAAAACAGAGTCAGTTTGGTCTTTGCAAACTGAGGCTGTCAGAGGTTGACATTTTTCCTAATACTGGGCCTTGTCCTGATAAATTACTCTTAAGGCCAAACTAAATCTTTAATCCTGGCTTCGCACAGAAATCCTGAAAATACCAAATGGTTATTTTTGGCAGTTTCTGAAATTTGATTCAGAGAAACGTTTGGAGTTTGGCCATGACAAAGCCTTTATTCAATGACCTGAAGTCCTCAGCTGTGCTCTTTCCTACCGGGCCTCAAATCAACCAGAACCTATAAGTGGGAAGTCTTGGGAAGTGTTTAAATGTTTGCCTTCTATTAGACTGTATGTGTTAAAATTGCAACATCCCCTTTCCAGCAATCCTGGGTCCCATCTGTCACTGCTCACATTCCATTCTCATCTGCAATGACAAGAGGTTTAGAGTCTACACCCACCCCTCCTCTAGCGGGAAAACCAGATGAACCCCATCTAAAGACTGCCCGCCCGCAGCATGCCCAACGCCATGGTGCCAGACCTGTAAGCACGCCCTCGGGGCGGCCTGCTGCTGAAGCCACTGTAGAAGCGGGCCCGGGAACTGCTGTAACTAGATCCTCTCCCTCGGTACCGCGTCCGGGGGAATCCCCGGTCTGTGGTGCTGATCCCAGGGCGGTTGGTCCGTTTGGGAATCACCTTCAGAAAGGACGACACACTTTCGCACGTGAGACGCAGGGAACAAATTCATAAACAGGGCTAACCCTCTCCTTCCATTCTTAAACCCGAGACTCCTAAATCTGCATTGTCTCTCGCACACACTTGTGCTAAGTTTCTTTCTCAGCCCTGTATAATTTTATAGGGTCATGGTTTTTCCAGTAGCGATGTATGGAAGTAAGAGCTGGACCATAAAGAAGGCTGACCGCCAAAGAATGGATGCTTTTGAATTGTGGTGCTGGAGGAGACTCTTGAGAGTCCCCTGGACTGCAAGGAGAACAAACCTCTCCGTTCTGAAGGAGATCAACCCTGAGTGCTCCCTGGAAGGACAGATCCTGAAGCTGAGGCTCCAAGACTTTGGCCATCTCATGAGAAGAGAAGACTCCCTGGAAAAGCCCCTGATATTGGGAAAATGTGAAGGCAAGAGGAGAAGGGGACGACAGAGGACGAGATGGCTGGGCAGTGTCACCGAAGCGACCAACATGAATTTGACCCAACTCCGGGAGGCCGTGGAAGACAGGAGGGCCTGGCATGCTCTGGTCCATGGGGTCACAAAGAGTCAGACACGACTAAACAACAAAAATGTATATGCTGCTTTGGATGGCAACCCAAATAGAACTGCAGCCCCATCATCTAAATTTTCCTACTGGCTATTCTGGGAAGCAAGAGGACAGTCTGACTCAAGTCCTGGGTGTTTTGACTGCACCACACAAACTGCAGCCACACACAGATATTCCAGAATCTAACCAAAGGTTTATAAAAGAGAGAAGAGATAGATGGAGTGCATACACACCTTGATTTGCCTCCCCCTGAAGAGTGATTCATCTAACGCTAAGGAGGTCCGCACTGACTCCTTGTCCGAGAATTCAATGTAGGCAAACCTTGGAGTAAGGCCAGAAAGAAGGAAGAGTTATTAGGAAATAAATACAGATTGGCACTTAGGTATGTATCTTTTTAGTTGTATACAACTGGAATTTATTCAGCTTTATTTTGTATTCAAGTATGTTACCCCGAGAGCTTCTGCATGGTAATCGAGAAGCAATATAAACAAAATAAACTCAGCCTCCAGGTTTCACACTTACCCTTTGGGGTGGCCCGTGTACTTGTCACATAAGATGGTCACGCGGTTAACAGAGCCACAGCCATGGAAGTGGGCCTCTAGTTCTTCGGCTGTTGCCCCATAGTCCACCTGAAAGGGAGGTGGCCAGAAGGTAAGAAAACCAAGATGCTCTTTTTTGCTCTTCTGACAAAAGCTGGTACGGGGGGGGGCGCACTTACGTTGCCTACATATATCGATCTGGCGTCTGCTTCCATCTTTTCTTCTAAAGACATAATGACTGGGCCAGCTGTGGAGAAAGCAGCAGGCATCACGTGGGGGGGGGCGCAACACAGAAGGAAGAACTCATCTGAAAAATGCAGGTATCCTGGAACACCCATTTGTCAACCCAACGTTGCCAGGAAGCTCAGGTAAGGCAGAGCCCCTCCCACCAAAAAATGGATCCTGCTTTTCGGCAGAAGAATGCAGTGCAGCAGAACAACTTCCCAAACTCAGTAAGTCAAGATATCTGAACTGAAATCTATCTTAGTGTCCTCTCGCTTTCTCTCCATTCTGTCACTACACTCGACGGCGCTACACTCTTTTCAGGATTCCACAACCGGCATGAACGGTTTAATCTTGAAACAGCAGTTCGGTGGTTTTTATATCTGCCAGAGTTTGTGACTTCAATTCCCCACTGTCATTCCTGTGTGTAGAGCCAGATTGTGTAGCCTTGGGCACACTGCACAGTCCCAGAAGAAGAGATTAGTAAATCACAGAAGTGTAAGCTACACCTCTGAGTACTCTCTGCCTATAAAACCCTGAAAAGAGACAGTCACCATAAATTGGATTGACCTGACGTTGTGATGATCTGAAGGAGAGTGGGATTAACACGGTTATCATTAGATATGAAGCTTTGATGGTTTCAGGAACACACGCACGGACTGCCCTACGACAAGCGTCAACAGCTCCTGACTAAACTTATTGGTGATTTACTTCTGCTTATTTTAAGATTTCTGTACTATATGGCTGTAACAATGCTTTTATTTCTTTAATTAACACTGTGCTTCTTGTCTAGAAAGCGAAGATTTAAAAATCACTAGTACAACTGGAGAAGTTTGATCACAAATCAGTCGGCTGAAATAATGAATGGGATGCAGGGAGCTCACTTATCCACCCTTTCAATTCCTCCCTTTCCTTGATCCAGAGCTGCTTTTCCCTAGCTGTCCCTTGCTAATGGGAAACCATTTAAATATCATTCTGGTATGCACATATGTCCACGTTTTGGCAGAGAATTTGTGGCTTAGACATGGACTCAGCTTAGTGTGATGTACTACCACCCTAGAAAGCACCGAACTAACTCACGCTGCAACCGTCAAGGCTGATGGCAGCTGCCACTTCCTTCCTCAAATTCCAATACTTAAGCTTTGTAACTTCAGACACCTCGACAGGAAAGTTGCCAGGAAAAGCATGCAGGTAATCCTCTGATGACCTTCGTTGTAAAAGACCATCTTGCTTTTATTCTCTACTGCTCTGCCTTTTGCACTGCAATTGCTGCAGGTCTGCCTGAACTAAAACAGTTTCCTGTAGAAAAGGAATAAAGTGGCACCTCGACCTATGAACATCCCTACTTGCGAACGAGTTACGGATGGCTCCATTCGCAAAAAGTTGCCTCGACTTGTGAACGGAGCCTCAACTTACGAACAAAACAAAAAAAAATTTCCTGCCCTTTTTTACCTAAGTTCATCTTAGGTCAAAAGAAGAAAAAAAAAATTAAATCACCCCATAGTGGTAGAGTACGGATTAACTGGCTTTGCATTAGTTCCTATGAGAACGAATGCCTCTACCTACGAACAGCGCCTCAACATACAAATGCAAAACAGAAGATACGGATTAAATGGTTTTCAATGCATTCCTATGGAAAAGTTTGCCTCGACTTACAAACTTTTCGACATACGAACTTAATTCCAATACGGATTAAGTTAGTAAATCAAGGTACCACTGTACTGACATTTGCAAATGTGCAGGATTTGTACCTGCCAAATCCCAAACACCTATGAGAACTTTCTCAATTAGGTTCCCACTTTCTTATTTCCAGCCTGTTCAAATATCTCTGGATTCCACAAGCTGCACTTACTGCCACTCAATGCATTCCAATGGGCTGAATACCTGCTCGTCCAGCAAAGATCCTCCATACCGCAGCCATTTTCAGGTGCGTGTTATGCAAAAAATGACTCCTAAAAACAGCGGGGAGCCATTTTGAGCAGCCGGCAGCCATTTTGAAAACCCGACGATCAGCTGGGAAGCGATTGTCGCAAAGTGAAAAAACCCCATTAAAACATTGTTTTGCGATCACAAAGACATCGTCATGAAGCGGATTCGTCGTTATACGGGGGAATCGTTAAGCGGGGCACGACTGTAATCACCAGACAATCTACGTGCTCGAAAAACCATCAAAATGAAGGTGGCATTTCTAAGATTATTTCCCTGCCCACCGCTGTCGAAATTGTGGGCTACTAATTGTGGGTTAATAATAATCATGTACCATCAAGTCAATTCTGACTGGTTACTGTTTTCGGGGTTTTCCGGGTACAGAACACTCAGAAGTGGTTGCCATTCTCTTTTTCCAGGGGTGCTCTGGGACTCTGCAATTTGCTCATGGCCACCCAGACTGGGCTTTTCCTCAGAACTTTCGCTATTTCCAATTCCAAAGTTACCAACCGTTAACAAAGTTCCAATTCCAAAGTTACCAACCGTCAACAACCCATCTTAAGAAAGCATCCCACGGGGAATCGAACTCCCAACCTCTGGTCTTAAAGGTAGACACCTCAACTATTAAGCTGTCCACCCAGCTTCAAGGTTATATTGTGTCAATGGAATTCAAAGACTTGCACTGCATAGCTCAGTGGTTTAGGCATCTTGCTGAGCAGCCAAAGGTTGCAAGTTTGGTTCTACACTGCTCTCCTTGACAGGAGCTGGACTCACTGATCCATTGCGTCCCTTCCAGCCCCACAGTTCTAAGATGATGAAATTACAATCTCTTTATATATACAGCCAAAGACTGTCCAATTCTTTTTTTTTTAAGAGGGTGGGTGACTTTATTATACCACGAACATCACAAAAGTCCAAAACTCTGTGTATCTCACACAGAGAGCCCCATACACCAACTAGGAGAAAACAGGCATTAGGCTTTTAAAAGGCTTCTGCCTGAAGATTTTTTTCTCCTCCTCTTCTGCCAATCTGCTATATTTCCAAGCAAAGAAAAAGGAAGCCATCCGTTTGGAAGATCTAATCATCTGTACTTCGTTTCGGGTCACCTGAGGCGACCAAGGAAGTGTTTTAAATACAAAGATGACTCAAACCCTGCCTCTTTCTCCACATAGCCCTGTATTCGGGCACTGCCATTTCTGAATGCACACGTTCTCAGGAATGTGTGTATTCCCTTTCCCTGGTCTTTTCTCCCTCCCCTTCCCAAAGAACCCATCTTCCTGAGGAGAACTCTCCATCTTTTGCTTAAATCTGCCTTTTGATTCATCACACTTTTCCTCCCAAAATCTATGAGGGCAGCTTCCTACCATCCTTCCTTCCTTCCTCGGTGCTCTCTCTCTCTCTCTCTTTAAGGAACTCTCTTGTCACCCAAACCTTTCCCAGTTCCTTACCTCTATCAACATCCAGTACTTCTTAGTGTAGAAGATATCTTACATGTGTTATATAGTCCCACACAACACTATGCAAAACTCCTCTGCTCTACCACCACATCAGATGATGAGCTTTTCCATAATCTTGACCTTCTTTCCTCAGAACTTTCGCTATTTCCAATTCCACAGTTACCAACCGCTAACAACCCATCTTAAGAAAGCATCCCATATTATTTGGGCTTATATGTCCCAAGTCTCACTTCAAAAGAGCAATCTTAGGCTTCACCCTCTGAACATGTTCAATTCATAATGCGGCATAGTGTTGACAGGGTGAGGCCTAAAATTGCTGTTTGGAAGCAAGACTTGGGTTTTATACGCCCAAAATAATGTGGGATGCTTTGTTAAGATGGATTGTTCACAGGCAGTAATGAGAGACCGTTCAATGGTTGGTAACAGTAGGCTTGAAAAGAGCAGAAGTTCAACTCTGACGTTTTTCTATGCTCTCACAACAAAACTCTGTGTATCTCACACAGAGAGCCCCATACACCAACTAGGAGAAAACAGGCATTAGGCTTTTAAAAGGCTTCTGCCTGAAGATTTTTTTCTCCTCCTCTTCTGCCAATCTGCTATATTTCCAAGCAAAGAAAAAGGAAGCCATCCGTTTGGAAGATCTAATCATCTGTACTTCGTTTCGGGTCACCTGAGGCGACCAAGGAAGTGTTTTAAATACAAAGATGACTCAAACCCTGCCTCTTTCTCCACATAGCCCTGTATTCAGGTGCTGCCATTTCTGAATGCACACATTCTCAGGAATGTGTGTATTCCCTTTCGCTGGTCTTTTCTCCCTCCCATTCTCAAAGGACCCATCCTCCTGAGGAGAACTCTCCATCCTTTGCTTAAATCTGCCTTTCGATTCATCACTCTCTTCCTCCCAAGATCTATGAGGGCAGCATCCTACCATCCTTCCTTGGTGCTCTCTCTCTCTCTCTCTTCCTGAGGAGAACTCTCCATCTTTTGCTTAAATCTGCCTTTTGATTCATCACACTTTTCCTCCCAAAATCTATGAGGGCAGCTTCCTACCATCCTTCCTTCCTTCCTCGGTGCTCTCTCTCTCTCTCTTTTTAAACTTTTCTTTCTTTCTTTCTTTCTTTCTTTCTTTCCTTTTCTTTTCTTTCTTTCTTTCTTTCTTTCTTTCTTTCTTTCTTTCTTTCTTTCTTTCTTTC